ATCATGTACTCGTTGTTCTCGATAATTTTCTACAAATAAAAAAAAAACAGTATAAAATAAGAATATCATTTTGATTTATTACCTTGATTAGTTAACCAACGAGCAATACGTTTATAAATATCACTAAATATCGTTGTTACTAATGCTAATAAAATTTTTGGTAAAAACTCTGTTAATGACATAAGATCTATTTTAAAAAAAAAACTTCTTTTTCTTTAAATCTTTTTCAAATAATCTATTCATACGAGGTAAACGACCAATTTTTAATTGTCTATCGATCCAACTTTGAAAACGTATAATAAGAAGAATAACAAATGAAACAAGCATAATATTAATACCAATCATTGGTATTGTTACAAGTAAACGAAATAATAAACGTTTCCAATTTGGATAATAAACTTCTAATTTACCAGTTACAGGTGAACGATGTAGTTGACCTTTGAATGTTGATCGAATTTCTTCGATTGGTTCCATATCAAGTGTATTCCATTGATAAGCTATTTCAGCTTGTCGTCGACGCCAAAAAATAAGAAAACCTGTTGCCCAAATCATATTTAACAATGTATTGATGACAAATAATTTATCATCAATTTCCTAAACAAAAAAAAAAGAAAAATAATAATTCATAAACTTATATTGAATTTTCTATAGTTAATAGTAACATAACAGTATAATTTATTATAATAACATAAAAAGTCAGATTAAAAAATGTTTTCTCTTAATTAGATAATGTAATAGATATGCAGCGAACTTGAACTCCAGTTCGGATTGAACGTTTCGGAGACTATCCAACAAGTTCACAGTGCATCGGATGTTTAGACAGTTGTTCGAATAGTTCTCGAAGCATATAGGCGATTATGGAAGTATCCTTAGGTTTGATGAATTTCAGATTTGGATATTTCCAAACCTTTTAGAAAGTCTGCTGTTTTTCAGTTGTTAGATCATTTACTTCATTGTCTGTAGACCTATCATAGTCAATCGTGAAATCCCTAGTTTTATTAATTAACTGAAAATGCCTGCATTCAAGATCGGATTCGTTGCATGCGTAAAATGTAATGTAATCATCAAATCTCTATTAAATGTTTTGGATATGTTAAAGTTTTCTCGATATGAGAAGACACACAATCTGCTAATATGTCCGACAGTACAAATGTTCCTAAAAAATCTATTGAACTTTATTAAAAACTCCGAGCTCTGAATACTTGTACTCAGTACATAAATAGATTTTTTAAATACGCGAAGAGAGAGACCAACAGTAATTGTTGTGAAATAAATATACGACAGTTTCAATTGACGCAACTTGCATAAGAGAAACAAGTTTGAATTCATATGAAATCATAATATTTAATTTCAATTACATGTCAAGGATTCGAAATTTTAACGGAAGTGTCTACAAAATCTGACGTGTTGCTAGAAGATAGCGGTTAGCCCTATCGATGAGGGTACATCTTCCGATTTCAATGATTTTTTGCTTATGAACACTGCATAGAGTTCTAATAAAAATCCTAAAAAGACTTTGGTTCCTAATGAAATTCGATGGCTTAGGCAAACCTCAGTAGGAACTGAAAGCTTTTTAGGATTTTTATTAGAACATTATTCAATATCTATAGACAAAAAAATCATTGAAGTCGAAAGAGGATATCTGAGGAGGTTTCTTTATTAATTAGAGTAGTAGGGATGCAACGGTGGCGGTAAACTGCCGGTCCACCGTATCTACGGTGCA